CCTAAACCCACCATTTTCACAGTTTTTTTTTCTGTTTCTCTAATCGTTAAACAGGCTGCAATTATTAAGACGATGAAATTTGAAGACGATCTCCCAACATCAAGCGATTCAAAGGGAACAATTTTTGTGGGTGAAAAAATAGAATAATTTTAGCTTCACAGAATGTTAATGTTCAGCGTAGGTGTGAAGGGTATCATTTTGTTGGCCCCTTTCGAATAATCTGCTTAGTGGTTATTATATGATTGTGTGGCCCCAAGAGTTTAAAACGCCGCGAAATATTCGTCCTAGACCCATCCCGACTAGCTGACTCGATCTAGGCATGTGTGTTTATACGTCCGTCCATTATAATTTGCAATCAAAGTACAGGCCGCAGTCACTAACAGTCGTCAAGAAAATGTGAATATAGGCTCGTTTCGGGCCAAATATCGGTAACGACCGGTTAATATTTATGTGATCGTTGGTCCATTCGATCAACTTTATTTTTCCCTTTCTACAATCAATAATGACCAGAACATCACAAAATTTTGCACGGGGAAGCAGAGGAATTCAATACAATGAATGACTTCTTTCATGATACTGGGCCAATAATTAGCGGTTTAAATAGACCAAGACCATACAGGGTTGCCTATATTCGACGGACCCATCTGGCAACGCCATAACTTTTGACAGAGATGTCACATCGCTTAATGACATACCGCGTTTGAAGCGTCAGTCAAAGCATATTTTTACCATGAACCAATACACGCCACGCGAGCGCTCTGAAATAGTTGAAATTTTCATTCAACATAAGAAGTCAATTGTGAAAACTCAACGTGCTTTTAAAACATTAAAAATGTGAGAAGTGCGCCTTCTAAGAACGTCATTAAGCGGGTATACGAACAATTTTCGACTGGTATGGCTCTTTCTAATCCGAAGAGACCATATAAAAGTCGACCAAGGCGATCGACCGAGAATATCGCTGCCGTACGAGCCAGTGTTGAGAGGTCTCCAAGAACATCCCAAAAACGCCGTTCTCAGCAGTTGGGCATGGCTCGGTCCACTTTACAACGGATTATTCACATTGATTTGCATTTGTTCCCGTACAAAATTCAATTGACGCAAAGAATGTTACCTGCGGACAAGCCTCGTCGATTGGAATGAACCCAAAGAGTCATCGAAATGGACGAAGATGACGAGCAATTTTGTAACAAAATTATCATGTCCGATGAAGCCCATTTCACTTTGAATGGGACCGTAAATAAGCAAAATTGCCGTTTTTACGCCACTGAAAATCCTCAGGAGATTCAAGAAGTGCCTCTTCATGACGAAAAAGTCACAGTTTGGTGCGGCGTTAGTGCGAAAACGATCATTGGGCCGTTTTTCTTCCAAAATGAAAATTGCCATGCAATTAGGAGCGTTATCGCGACATGATGACCAATTTTGTGATGCCAATTATTCGTCGAAAGCGTATAAGGCAAAGACGGCGCTCCACCGCACTCAAGTCGCATAACAATCGATTTTCTGAAGAATTTGTTTCCGGGCCGTTTGATGTCGAAAAGTGGCGATTTGGACTGTCCACCGCGTTCGCCCGATTTGACGCCGCCTAACTTCTTCTTGTGGGGATATTTGAAGTCAAAGGTTTACGTTAACAAGCCAAGGACCGTAGAAGAGGTCAAGGATAACAATCGCTATTCCGGCCGAAATGTTGGTAAAAACAATGGAATATGCAGCAAAATGGGCACAATACGTCATCAACGCCAGAGGCGGCCATTTGAGGGATAACAAAAATTGATGTAAACAAATCTTCTTGGAACAAATTAAATGATTAACATTGCCAACCGCCAAACTTATATTTTTTCTTTGATAAAAAAAACATGGGTCCGTCGAATGTGGGGAACCCTGTATATTTACTTCGGAAAAACTTACACTGGAGATGTTAATAGTATATAGGAGGATATTTCAAGTATACAAGAGGATATTTTCTTGCGAATTTTTTTACCCATCACGATAACACTGCAACGATGAACCTGAATTTTTGAAGGGTGATGAATTACTGTAGTACTGCGAAAAATTGGTTTAAGGGGACCGCATCATTCAAGGTTTTAACGAATGTTATTTTGGTTTTCTATTTGATTTCTGTTATGACCTATTGTTATTAATCAGTTTAGCCTTCGGATAGCTCTACAGAAGTCAGGGAGGTTCCCAACCGCCAAACCAATGTCTGTTCTAACATCACTTTTTCTTTACATCTTTTAGGACCAAAAAAGCGACGGCATACGTGTTTCTCAAACATTAAATGCGTTTTTCTCGAAGCAATGTTTTTACAAAAAATGATACGATAACGCAAAATCTAATTATTGAATCCGTTCAAAATGTTAATACGTTATTATGTACGTATTTAGATATCGTATGAACTAGAATAAATGCAATCGGGCAATGCAATCCTTTTTTCAAACAAGGTTTTTGGTCGAATAGGGAATAGGGAATCTTTCAAAAATTAAATTTCATATGTCTTCCATTGTGCGATGTTTATAATCCTATTTCAAACCCATGCCGTTGGAATTTTTGGAATCGGACGTCGAGAAGAGAAGACTTTTTGTTAATTAAAAAAAAATACAACAACAAAATTATATCAATTCATTTTCTTAGTCTTTAAGTCTTCAAGTGTGTATGTACAAAGTTACAAATCTTCAAGCCGGTTGAAAATCATGAGCCGGTCTAAAGTCATAAAAAATTGAAATCGAGAATGATGGGTATTAGAGTCAAATCGGGTATTAGAGTCAAAGCTCTATCTCAAATATTGCGATCTCTATCGTGAAATCAACAGCAGACGACAAATGGACACGCATAAGTTGACAGATTTCTGATCAAGAATATATATACTTTATGGGGTCTCCGGTGAATGGAACAAATATTATGATGTGCAAAATTTGAATGAAATCGGTTACTACCTTCGAGATTTATAGTGCACAGAAGCGACAGACCGAAGTTTTTGGAACAAATATTATGATGTGCAAAGTTTGAATGAAATCGGTTACTACCTTCGAGATTTATAGTGCACAGCAGCGACAGACCGACGGACATTTGTAAATCGACTCCAAATTGCCTGAAACGGTTGAGGCACATTTTTTGCCTGAGTAAAGTGTATATACCCTCATAGGCCCTAGGAGGTTGAACACCACGTAATGTTAGCCTTGCACCTTTTAGTATGTCGATCCTCCTGTCTGTTTGCACATTATAGATTTTAATTACAGTACAGGCCTCAGTTATGGACCAATCGCCAAGAAATGTTGAATATAGGTTCGGTTTTTGCCAGATATGTCAGATATAGATTTGAAAATCGCGCTACAGTCGCAAAATAATGCCGAAAGGGGATTTGACCACAGAATAATGTTTTGATGATTATTTAGCAAGCCATATGGACCGAGACGACTTTTAAAGTCGCGCTACAGTCGCAAAAGGAGATCTGACCTTCGAATAATCATGGCTGTTTTCGATGTTGATCGGTCAACATTTAGACGGTCATATGGACTGCGAGTTTTGTGTGAAAAATAACATAATTTTCATAAAGAAAGAGTAGGAAAGAAATGTATAAAATGTATATAAATAGTAGATGTTGAAAAACTGTTGACTGATATTGCTTGATAGTCAAGCCAAGTCATATCGAGAGCTACAGACATACTTGAGCATTTCTTCTAAAAATATATATTCGATATCCCCCATAAATGGCCTAAAAAAGTATCGTATCGATTGACGCAAAGAAATTTTAAAAAAGGGATGTCATTGATATATGCAAATGGGTCTTTAAAGAGCTAATAGCTAAATCCAACGAAAGATGTTCGTAAAAAAAGCACTTCGAAACAACTGATCCGTCTTTTTCCAATTCGTTGTTAAATTACGGCTAATACTTCTTTATAGGGGGCAAAAATAAAAATATTCTATTAAGAAAAAAAAAAACGAGAACCCGCATTGCAAAACTACAACAACTTCATGTGCTAATATAGGCTAAAATATTCAACATGCCGAAAAAATTCGGGGTACTTTATATTGAAGTTGTGAAAATTTTTGTTCAATCCTTTAGAACTTAGAATTCGAAATCACAGCCACTTCAGTGTGAAAATGTAGGTAAAATCTTACAAATATCGAAAATGGGGCGGAATCAATAACCTTAAGCGATGGGACAGTAAACCTATCTTCGGAATAATTGTAAGTTTGATGAAAATACGCTGTGCAATCAATGGACCAAATTGGATACTCGGTTCGTATGCAATTTACACGTTTCAAACATTTTAACTCTACGGGAGTACCAGAAAGAGCGCTCCGACTTATTTATATGAGATTTCAAAATTTTTGTATATCAGTAGATCCGAGTCAAAATCAATACAATAATCCACATATAGGATGTCTTTGTTTCCCTGGGAAATTGCCCAAAATCAATATTTTCCGAAAATTTACCACACAACACCTTAGTTGTATCTTTATCACCGAATATTCATTTTAAATCAGTCGTCCTCTTCACTTACACTAAATCACACTCAAATATGGGCAAAGGAATTGTAAAATCCAGTGATTTCCAAAGCTATTTGCCTCCGATAAATACGTTAAACTGTGTATTTGCTCGGCCACAAAAGCCACTGCAAAACAGCAAAGCAATTTAAATTGAGAAGTTCATTTATTTGTAGGATTTACCGGCAACTTGAATTCAATCTTTCGGTCGGCATACCAACAAACACAGAAACACAAGGAAATATTTAAAAAGTAGTTTTCTACGGCATTCAGATTTTCCACTTGGAAATTTTTCCATACTTTTCCTCTATTGTTCAACAACAAGAACAACAACAATTCAATTGTACTTAATATGTTTTTGATGGTTTTCTCATTTGTTTGTTCGTTTGTTCTGTCGTCGTCGTCGGTTCTATCTTCCATTCATTTCTATATTTTTTGTTTTTGTTTTTTTTTTTTTCATTTTGATCTCTCACTAACGTTCTTCGTATGTTTTTGGCCTCTTTCCATTTTTGCAGGGCACCCAGAAAATTGCATTGCCATATCAGGCCAATCAAAAACTCACTGTTAAACAAATCCTAACACACTTCAGTGGCATCGATGCATCGACAATGAAAAATCCTAAGGAGATTTTTGCAGCTGACATTCAAAAGGATTTGCTGCTGCTCGAGGAACAAGAGGGCTCAGTTAATTTCAAATTTGGCGTTGTATACATGAAGCCGGGACAGTGCTGTGATGATGAGATGTTAAGTAATCGTAAGTAGATAATGATGATGATTTCGATGTTGTTGATTTTGAAATACCAAATGATAGCTAGATATGTGAGATAAGAAAATTGTACGATTTCTTAGAAAGGCTTTGCAGAAAAATGATTTTTTCTTCTTGGAAATTCTAAATAGGATTAGTATATTTTGGGAGAATTGCTATAAAAATGTCATGTCAATAAAAAAATCGAATTAGGTAATATTGGATAAGCAAAAAACAATGTAAACATTTATTTACAAGTAAGATGTGGACAATCAACGTGCATGAAATGTATATGTAAAGAAATCTTGTATTGGCCCCCATATCGGGGAGTAGGCGTATGATAAGACCTGATTATGTACTATAAGGGTACTGGGTCAAAACGTAGAACACTAAACATTGGGATGAGAGTCACTGTGGATGATCTATATAATCTCCGATTAATAAAAATGTATCAAAGGAACTCTATGTTTATTTGGTCTATGGAAATAATTGTACGAAAATCAAAAAGTTACTAAAATTAGTACATTAAGTTTTCGCCTAACGAATACGTATAAAGACTCTCAATTGGTTGGTAATCACTGGACATATGTAAAATTAGAATGAAAAATAAGTTTTACAACTTCGAACTAAAAGAAATATCAATGAGGAATTTGATATGTGGGCCATGGTAAATTTCTGCCAGGCTGCCAATATAATGCATGGTCAAATGGTAAACAACGTGCGGAAATTCCCAAAAATACCGAACATATGGGGGCATTGTTGTTCTTTTCTTTTGAGCCCAGGTGTTTTCCGTGACTTTAAAACTATTTTAATGCAGATATCCTAAGATGGATATGAACAAAATAAATGTCCGTGAAAATAAATTTAAATCTATTTCACAATATTTATTTTTACGTTTTCCAACACTGCATTCGGGAGATACAGTACCTTTTTCTGAAAAAATAAAAGTCCAGTATCGATATCAAAATATTAGAGTGTATAATTTGATATTAACTTTGCAAATCGTAATCTATAAGAAAACCTCTTCTGTTACATCTTCAAAGATGGACAACTCTTTATTAAAAAATAAACTTTATATAAATCGAATAATAAAACCTGTGTTTTATTCCGTAGACTTCCGCAGACCATAAGCTGAGGGTATATACCTGTCGGCAACACTGACTGACCCTTTGTTACTTGTTTATTTTGATATCGCTTCCGTCCTATCTTAGTTATATGTAATGTCGGGTGTCAGAAGGTGTACACACATCGCATCAGCTTCGCAAATTCCCTGTCTAAATGTCTCGTATTTTCCGGCACTAGTGCCTCCTGAAAGAACATACAGTTTCATGTTTTGTCTCAGTTTCTTTATAAAGGTTTTATGTATTCTCAAGTTCCTTGACGCATTTTCCAACAGAATGGTAACAATTAAGTTCGGCCCGGCTGCACTTTTTATACCCTTCACTATAAGGATGACATCAACATGTCTTAGGAATTAAATTCTCAAAATATCTCAAATCGATATCGATCTCGGGAATCGATATTGATAGTTTTTGGTAGTGGCATTTGACAGCCAATGAGAATACAAAATACCGGTTGAAAAAACCTGTCCAAAATACCAACTTGGGCTACCATTATATGGGGGCTACCCTCAACCTTAGGCCAAAATTAATAATTTTTATTACAAGGATGTGCTATGCTATGAGAATCCAAAATATCAAATTACACTAAATTTGCTTGAAAAATGTGTCCAAAATACTGTATATTGGGAAGTACCGTTACATGTGTGCTACCCTCAAACTTGGATCAGCATTACCAATAATCCAATTTTGCAATCTGGTACACAAGGTAAAATGCCTTAAATCAAAAAACTTTTAGTACAAGGTTTTTGTCCAATTTTTATTTCATTTGGCATTTAGGGCACCCAAAAGTACTAGCCTCGTCGCAGAAGACTTTCAGAGCACTTTAAATTTTAGCATGTCGGGCTCTCTGAAGTGAACTTCTGAAACTTCTTAGCCTATCAATGAAAGAGCAAAGTTTATTTTTCTATATAATCTCCTGAAACTACAATACCCTTAGTCCAACGCTTTTCTAGCAATTCTATTACAATCCTACCCCCCTCCCCCCACCACACTGATCCTAAATCCAAGTTTCAGGATTCCAACTCTATCGTTTCACCCACAATTTAAATTGTACCAAATTTAGTACACAGTAGTTCGAATTTCTAAAACCTTCTTCTTACCACAAACCTACACCCTCATAGTGATCCTAAATCAACTTTCAGGATTCCAACTCTATCGGTTCACGCACAATTCAAATTGTACCAAATTTAGTACACAGTAGTACCAATTTCCAAAACTTCCTACATACCCCAATCCTATACTTTCACAGTGATCCTAAATCAAAATTTCATGATTTCAACTCTATCGCTTCACCCACAATTTAAATTGTACCAAATTTAGTACACAGTAGTACGAATTTCCAAAATTTCCTACTTTACCCAAACCGACACACCCATAGTGATCCTAAATCCAAGTTTTACGATTCCAACTCTATCGTTTCACTCACAATTAAAATTGTACCAAATTTAGTACACAATAATACGAATTTCCCAATCTTCCTACATACCCCAATTCTACACCTCCACAGTGATCCTAAATCAAAATTTCAGGATTCCAAATCTATCGGTTCACGCACAAATCAAATTGTACCAAATTTAGTACACAGTAGTATCAATTTCCAAAACATACTACATTCCCACACTGATACTAAATTCATGTTTTAGGATTCCAACTCTATTGGTGCACCCGCAATTCAAATTGTACCAAATTTAGTACATAGTTGTACCAATTTTCAAAACTTCCTACATTACCCAATCCTACACCCCACAGTCATCCTAAATCAAAGTTTCGGGATTTCAACTTTATCAAATAGTACCAAATTTAGTACACAGTAGAACGAATTTCCGAAACTTCCTACTTAACCCAAACCAACACCCCCTCAGTGATCCTAAATCCATGTTTCAGGATTCCAACACTATCGGTTCACCCACAATTCAAATTTTACCAAATTCAGAACACAGTAGTACCAATTTCCAAACCTTCATACATACCCGAATCCTTCACATTCACAGTGATCCTAAATCAACATTTCATGATTTCAACTTTATCGCTTCACCCACAATTTAAATTGTACCAAATTTAGTACACATTAGTACCAATTTCTAAAACTTCCTACATATTTCAAACTTAGACATCCACAGTGATACTGACTCTAAATTTCATGACTCTAGCTCTATTGGTTCACCTAAAATTCAAATTGTACCAAATTTAGTACCAATTTATACCCATAAGTATTAATTTTTTAAACTGAATCCTGACCCTAATCTTACATCCCTACAATGATCCTAACTCCAAATTTCATTGTTCCAGCTCTATCGGTTCACCCAAATCCAAATTGTATCAATCATAGTACGATTTACTACTTTTCGTACACATAAGTAAAAAAATCCAAAACTACGTACATATTCCAATCCTACACTCCGACGGTAATGTTACTTTCAATTTTCAGGATTCCAGCCCGATTTGTACCTCCAAATCAAATTTGTACCAAATATAGTACCATATAGTACTTTTTGTACACATGAGTACACGCTTTCCCAACTCTACTCATATCGACTCTACATCTCAACCTTAATTTGCATTCCAAATTTCAAGTTTTAAGCTCAATCCATTCACATGCTACAGAATTGTACCAAATTTAGTACATTTTCGTACTTTTCGGATAGTTATAGCTCGAATTTCCAAAAACCCTTTGGTACATCTATCCTACACTCCATAAACGACCACCAAACCAAATTTCAGAGTTCCAACTTCACCGGTTCGCCAAATACAAACGGTATCACATTTAGTACTTTTCGTACCGTTCTAGTACGAATTTCCCAAAACCCAGCCTTATCTGTCACATTTGGACCAAGAGTGACCCTCACCCAAAATTTCAAGATTCCGTTTCGTCTGGACGTTGATGAATCGTTAATTCAGTCAATCACTTTACTCTTTTATTAGTATAGATTATTATTTTCAAATTATTATGAAATTTAAATGCTCAAAGGACAAACTCCATTAAAATATGTTATATATTTATTTATTTTCCTCAGTTTTTTGTTCGATTAACCCCAATTCTGGTAGAGTTGACTCAGTTGTGCATAGAATGCCGTGTGTCAAGTTTGATTTAAATCGACACATATTTTCATATAGATCCTATGTATTATGAACCGGTTTTATTTTAATATAGCACAAACGATTGATATATGTTATCCCAATTATGTTGAAATAGTGCAAAATTTGCCCGATCAACATGCAATTTAAAATGAGCTATCAAATTGAGTCTAATTCGATTTAGATGTTCATATACCTCTATCGCATATGATTTTGTAAATGCAATACATTAATGTAATTATATTGCTATTTACAAATTCAAAACAAATCTCAATGAAAACAAGTGACTTTTTAAAAATTCAGTTCGCAAGCTGAACAAAAATAACCCACAATCTTATAAATAATCCATTTGATTAAAAAATAAAAAACCATTTAATATGTTTGTTTTTAATGCCACAAATCTCATTAATTTTTAATGCAAGCAAAAAGAAAAATAATGTTCATTTGTTCATTTTCAAATTCACAATATCCAATGGAAGCAATTCCCTTTTTTGTTGGTTTGGTTGTTTGTTTGGAACAGGTTATATTACTTGTTGGCGCATTATTAATGTATCCCTTTGTTGGAGAAAGGCATTGTCTCTGAGAGATTTTTTGTTTTGCCTTATGTTCCCCGTTAATATTTTTTTCTTTCTAAGCAGGAATTTTCCTTATTTTGTACTTGTGTGTGTTCGTGATTCTGTTATTGTTATAACCAAGAAGCCTTTAATTCGCATTCCCTCTGTGTGTTTCATAATTTTGGCTTCTTTTCATAATATTTTTGCTGTTGTTTTTTTTTTCTATACTTCCAGAGGAATCCAGTCCAGACTTTGAAGACTTTTTAGATGTGCTGGGCGAACGTGTACGCCTAAAAGGATGGGATCGTTTTCGTGGTGGTTTAGATGTTAAAGGTAAGTTGAATGTTTGGAAAACATGTTTAGTATATATGGGGGCATAAATTTAAGACTTTTTAATGTTTGGAAAGATTCTTTTACGTGTTTCTAATGAAATACAATGACGAGTATGTTGGAAAAATCCAAGACTTGAATAGTCGTTCAAAAAAATCTTTATTAACAAATCCAGGCCTTTGGTAGTTAGTGAAAAAATCTTCTTAAAAACCCAGGCCTTTGATAGTCCGTGAAAAAATCTGCTTTAACAAATCCAGGCCTTTGGTAGTCAGTGAAAAAATCTTCATTAACAAATCCAGGCATTTAGTAGTCCGCGAAAAAATCGTATTTAAAAAATCCACGCCTTGGATAGTCGTGGAAGAAATCTTCATTAAAAAGTCAATGCCTTGGATAGTCCTTGAAAAATCTTCATTAAAAAATCCAGGCTTTTGGTAGTTGTTGAAAAAATATGAATTTACGCCTATGGTTGAGTGTTGAAAAAATATTTGGTCCATGGAATAACCCATATCTAAAATAAGTCGTAAAATAACTACCACAACAAGTTTCTTAAATTACTCTCGTTCATCCACTATACACGGCAGCTACATTAACTATAGTATTAATGTGCTTCTTCATTTTATTCTTATTCTATTCGTTGAAGATGAACACGAAGAACCATCCTGAAATGGACTTTCCTCTAACAGAAAAAAATCAAGAAAACTGCATTGCTTTTATGCCGTACCCTAAAGATTTTATAGTTGTTGTTTTGTAGTTTATTTTTCTTGCCTATGGCTAACAAGGAAAAGAAGATGAAGCATCAACAGTGCGGGACAAGGAATCTTCGTGACTGCATGTAATACAAGTGTAATGTCGAACATTTGTCTTCAACGTGTTGTTCCATGAAATATGTTATTATAACCTTTAGTCAACCTTTAGTCAGCCATCTTCATTTAGTATTCGGATTTATCAAGGAGATGAGAAATGTGGAGAATAGATAAAATGTGAAATAAGGCGGGAGAGAGGAAAAAGAAAGGAGGCTATAGTTTGCGGGGATGTGACCACACAGCTGTCATTTCCCAGAATAGAATGATTATGTACGATGAAATAAAGATTTATGGGAATTTAAACTTTAAGGAATATTTTCCAGGACACATTTTTCAATGTCTTCCAAAAGCGGACAACCAAAGGCGTGGATTTTTAAAGAAGAATTTTTCACGGACAACCAAAGCCGCGGATTTTTTAAAGAAGATTTTTTCAAGGACTATCAAACGGAGAATTTCTTAAAAAAAAATTTTCAAGGATTATCAAAATGAGAATCTCCTAAAAAATTAAGTCGTGGATTTTTAAAAAATATTTTTCAATGACTATAGAAAGGAATATTTCTTACAAAAAAAAAATTTCTTACTATCAAAAGCAGGACTTCTTACAAAGTATATTTTCATAGAAGGACGATTTAAAAAATGTGTTTCAATGTCTTTCAGAAGACTTATTTCTTACAAATATACATTTTCAAGGAATATTAAGAGGATGATTTTTTAAATCTATTTTTCAAGGACCATCTAAAGGAGGATCTCTCAAAAAGGCTTTAATTTTATTCAATGACTGATAGAAGAATATTTCCTTAACAAAATATTTTCATGGTCTATTAGAAAGATGATTTTAAAAGTATATATTTCAAGGACTATCAAAAGGAGGATTTAAAAATATATATTTTCAGGGACTTACAAAAGGACGATTTCTAAAAAACTATTTTTCAAGGACTATCACTGTTTTCAAGAAATATCAAAAAGATTATTTCTAAAAAATATTTCAAAAGGCGGGTACATTGTACATATGTATCCTTAAAATTTAAGGATACAGTGTTCCCTCGAGGGAACATACTCATGTCTTTCTGCAACCTATGATAAATTTCAAAAAAACCCAATAACATCATTCAAGTCTCAATTTGATACTTTGTGCAAAATTTCGTATTAATCGGGCAAACATTAGGAGTTTGATGTAGCATTTATGTAAAATCGAACGAAAATATTTATGGAAGCTATATCTAAATCTGAACGGATCTTCAAGAAACTTACCACACATCATTCTAGACTTAAATTAGTATGATATGCCAAATTTCGTGCAAATCGAACAATATTAAGGATCTGTGGTGCAAGATTTAAATTAATTCGGACGAAAATATACATTGGGCTATATCTAAATCTGAACCGATTTTCACAAAACTTAGCACATATTCTAGGCTTTATTCAGTACGCTGTGCCAAAATTAGTGTAAATCGAAAGATATATAGGGACTTTGGTGCACCATTTACCTTAAATCGGACGAAAATATTTATGGGAGCTATATCTAAATCTGAACTGATTTTCAATAAACTTAATACACATCATTTTAGGCTTATCTCAGTACGCTATGTCAAAATTCGAATGATATTTAGGGACTTAGGTGCACCATTTACCTTAAATCGGACGAAAAAATATATAGGAACTATATATAAATCTGAACCGATTATTATGAAACTTATCGCACATCATTCTACACTCAATTCGGTATGATGTACCAAATTTCGTGCAAATCGAGAGATATTTAGGGACTTTGGTGCACCATTTACCTAAAATCGGACGAAACTATATATGGGAGCTATATCTAAATCTCAACCGATTCCAACAAAATTTCGGACCTATTTCATTACTCTGTGGAAAAATTTTGCTTCAATCGGAACAATATTGGGAGTTTTGTGCACTATTTACATTAAATCGGACGAAACTGTATATGGGAGCTATATCTAAATCTGAACCGATTTTCTCCAATTTCGTCCAAATCGGATCATAAATGCGACCTGCACTTTGTTCACAAAAATACATGGACGGACAGACGGACATGCATAAATCGACTCAGAAAGTGATTCTATGCATATTCTCAAAAGGAACCATGGGTCTATCTCGATTATTTTTGCCTGTTACAAACATATGCACAAAGACATAATACCCTGTACCACAGTGTGGTGAAGGGTAAAAAAATTCAAGGACTGTCAAGGGAGGGGAAGGGAGGGACGGTTTGTAAAAAATTATTTTCAAAGGTTTTTTTTAAATAACTATTTTGTAAGGACTATCAAAGGTAGGTTTTCCTACGGAATATTTTTCAAGGAATATTAGAAGATTCAAGGATTATTTTTTGAATAATTTTCATTTTAAGGAGGAAAATTTCTGAAAATTTTCTTTAAATTTATAAATGTCTAAAACAGTTCCTTCAACAGTATTTTCCAAAAAAATGAACAATGTTTTTAGAGTATAAATAAACAAACCACGTGCACCCCAAGGGTTTTGTAGTGTTTGTAATGAATCAACCAACTCCTCATGGTATTGTCTCCGTTTGAGTTTGATGAAGTGGAATGTTGAGGTTATGTTACCAACTACCACTATTGCTTGTGCTCTGATATCTCTTGTTAATTTAATTTTCCATGTAGAATAATTTGTCTTGTTTCCCTCTTATCTTCGTTCTTATTCTATTACAGGTGATATGACTGGTAAATACTCGGTTTATACACTGCATGAAGGTCATGAAATTATGTTTCATGTTTCAACACTGTTGCCCTTTTCCAAGGATAATCGACAACAGGTGAGTACAAAAACTCGGAGATAGAGAGAGTGAAAGAATGAAAATAACAAAATGAACAATTGCTAAGTGGTTGGTCCACAGACAGATTAGATATACAATTCCGCACCATTTGTGTTATCAACTTAAAGAAGTTTCTTTTTTCGTTACTTGTGCTTGTTTTTTATCTGATATAATACAATAAAACTTTGTTAAGCTTGTGGGCTTGCGGCAAAGTGAACTAAAACTCTTGTATATATATTCTCCTTTTTTGAAATCTTAAAGTATTAAAGAGTTTTAATAATTTAACAAGTGGTCTGTATTTATTTTGTATGTTATGTTTTATTTTTAACAAAACAAAAGAACATTTGCGGATTTTGTAACAAAGGTCAGAAACCACTAACATTTTTTTTTAATTTTAAACAATAACAAGAACAAGAAACCCTAAACATGACTTTATGGTCAAGCACAAAAAGGTTTTACATTTTTCAACTTGTAACATCTGCATCGTTAGGAAGAAGGCATGTTTAATCCAGTTGTTTTTGAAATGTGTGGGAATATTATCCGAGAATTTTGTAAAGAATTATTTGGAAACCAACCAATTAAATTTCTTTAATAATTGGCATTCTGTAAGGCAATTAGAGGCTAATCGGCTTGAATGTGCTCATAAACGTTAATTGTTAGTCCTATATTAATGATATTAATTTTGAAATTTTTATTAAGGGGACCCCACATTCTCGGGGTCAATTTTTTTTATTTAATTCGAATCTACACTAATTCAAGAATGTCCCTACAAAACTTCAAGTGAAAATCTCAAGAACTCTTGAAGATATAGCCGATTTATTGTGTCAGCATCAAGTGGCGGATAAAGGGCTTCTCAAACATTAAACGCGTTTTTCTCTTTTGCGAATTGCGGGCATGATAACTCAAAAACTAATAACCCAATCGATTCCAAATTTTTACAAGTTTCTCTATGAGTGTATAGCTATCGAATGAACTAGGATAAAGCCAATCGGTAAATATCTTCCTTATTTTTTAACTTGGTTTTTGGTCAAAAATCGGCGATTTTCCAAAAATTTTCCCTTAAGAACAAAATATATTAATGTATTTGTTAATATATGTTAGGCACGGTTAGCCGACGAGTTCGAATATTTGGAGCGGTTAAATTTGAAATACGTACAAAAGTCAGTCGAGAAAGAAAAAAAAACAATAAGAATTTTTATTTGTGTTCTATTGATTAAAGCCGTCAATGGCTTGCCTGAAAATCTCTGCCTTATTTATGCCAATGTTGCAGACATACCAAAAACCATACGTTCCGATTTGTACCGTGGCTAACAGGAATTCACTCGGAACATACTGGAAGCCATACATAAGGACACACCAAATGAAAACCTTTTATTCCCTACCTACAGCACATACCATGCCCTGCTCTTGGCCTATTTTGGTGCTGATGACGGAAAAGGAACTGGTTCAGGGACTATGTCTCCAATGAGCCAAGAACAAGAAACTTGACAATGGTTATGGCCTAGAGGAACAAATGCGCTATGTAACACACAACGAAATCCCCGAAATATTTAATCCCGGTGATGTTACCTCCGACAGTCAAATGGTTTTGGTCAATGTTACGTATTTCATGGGGCAATGGTCGAATAAATACTAAACAGGAGATTTTCTATACTAAATAGGAGATTTTTTATACCAAACGTGGTGTCTTCTTTGTGCAGCCCCAAGAGTTTGTAACGCCGCGAAATACTGGTCCTAGTCCTGTCTTTAAGTATACCTACTAGTCATATCTCGAGGAGCTGAGTCAAGCTAGACATGTGTTTCCGTCCATCCGTTGCATGTAGCATGGGTTCTGACCAATGAAGACCCCTTTTTTGGTAATGATCAGTTAACATTTAATTTTAGTCGGTTTTTTTCTTTTTGGTCGCTCCAGAGGCCGCAAATATGGCCCGATCATCGCGAAATTTTACATGTAGAAGGGGATCGAGCCAAAGAATAAGCATGTCCGTTTGAAAAAGATTGGTCAGTACTTAACGGGTCAAATGGACCCTGACTTTTGTGGGAAAAATTACTAACTCTTTATCTTGGGGCGTATATATTTACTCCTGAAAGACATATTCCCTAGAAGTTGATAGTGCATCCAAGAGGAGTGGTAGACCTTTAAATTGATACCAATTATATTGATGTATGTTCTCAGATGTGGGAGTTATGATATTGTTTAGTATTACAATTAGCCCACTGGAGGGCGGAAATTTCGCACTGATCGCTTTGCAATTTTACATGATGTTCCGGTTATGGTCAAGGACGAAGCCTATAATTTTCGGCAATATTGAGATGATATTTAGGGGTTGCAATAAAAAGAAAATTTCAGATTTTCTAATCGATCTAGAGGCCATTATTATATGAAGAACATCACTCTTTTTACACGGTGAAGATGATCTGCCGAAATACTTGGTCAAATCAACCAAGACTAAAGTGATCAAATTTTTATTTTATGGTGTGAATATTCATCTCGGGAAAACAAGATCTCTAAAGGTTATAAAGTGTAGACCTATAATCAGTGAAGAGGGTGCAAATATCGCTAAATATGAGTCTGCCGAAAAATAAAGGATTTCTTTTTCCCCAAACCTAATATATGTTCATGTTTTGACATAGGTTCCGACTTATTTTCGGTATTTTTAAGGCATCGCCGATTTTGCCGATCCATTTCCGGGATTTCAAAGCTTTAGCTAAATTTCACCAACGAAATGAATGTAATTACAAACACCAAATTTTCGTAGTGTGAAACAAATCTTTGCAGAAAATTTTCAATTAAGTTTCGACATAGCCCTAATAAAAAGAACTCGTCACTTTTTCCTAACCTACTTTTCCAAATATTATGGCTATAATTTGGTATTTTCTCAGTGTGTAGACAACGCACTACCAGACAATTTACAATGCCTTTATTGAGTGAATGCCAAATTGAATACATCCATGTCGAATGTATGCTGCTCGAAGTGATTTTCAGTTGCCACATGATGTTATGGAGTCGTTTTTGAGTGACCATGACCATATTCGTTGTTTTTATCGTATGAAAGTATTATTATCATTATGGATGTGGATATATGCAGGGCATGATTCCATACAACAGCTCCTTTTTCAGACACTGGTTATTTCGTAGTAATAGTTCGGCACTGCATACTTGAAATTGCAAAAACACAAATTGATTTTTTCCAGACGAATATTATCGAAAATACGCTATATAGGGCTCTGGTGTATACCAAGACCACCCATGTATAGCCAAATACGCTACCGTAATAGAGCTTAGATGGTTAAACATGAATTCTGTTTTTGTCATAAATTTTTAATGATGAATTCTCAGTTACTCTCCATTTATTTATGCCCACCACTGACCAAGATACAAACCGTGTACTACATTGTGGTGTAGGGTGTAAATTTATAAGGTGCTATTCATTTGTAGTTTTTAAATAGAATTTATAATAAATTTTCATCAAATATGGTATGTACTCGTTTTTTTAATCAGAAGCCTATGAATATTATTATTATTAACTGATTAAATACAATACATGACCTCTAGCGCGCATGAACATTATTAATAACGTATACCTTATGCTGGCCAAATTTCGACGCTTTTATTTTAATAGTGCTAACCAACCTACACTCTTTAATATTTACATTTTAAATGATATACGAATCCATGTATTCTCGAAATTTCTATTCATATAAATTCTATACATACCAAACTTCGACTCAAATAACACATTTCTATCTCTCATATTTTTTGCAGGTTGAACGCAAACGTCACATTGGTAACGATATTGTGAATATCGTATTCATAGATCAAAGCACGGCGCCCAATGTTGATACGGTTTTGCCAACAATGTTTGATCCCACATGGATAAAAAGCCAATTTACACGTAAGTCAAAAATTGCTCGTACGGCAATCAGCCACCGTCATCGCCTCTATTTGCAAGCTAATAAAAGAAACAGAAAACCCTCGTCACACTGATAAATGAACATTCATAGAAAATTCTACTACAACCAACACAGTGTATATTGTTGTGGAAACTCAATTTAAATTTTTACAACTCTTTTGTATCTTTTTTTCAGACATTTTTGCGGTAGTTACGAAACATGAACAAACCTATCGTTTGGCCATATTTTGTGATGAGAATGTGCCACCATTTGGTCCAACGCTACCAAACCCACCCGAATTTACAGTAAGTGTGTGGATGACACATATGTGTTACCAATCACAATATGAAAATATACATACACACACTCATTCATATCTACATATTTGTAATATCAACAACAATAAGAGCCTTTACAATGATGACCCATATAGAAGAAATATTGATTTTTGTGATCTATATATTGTATATCCGCCTGTATGAGATATATGTGTATGTTCGAGTTGTTGTAGTTATGTTGAATTGGAGTAACTAAAAAATACAGTAATTAATTATTCGTTTATAAAATATTAATTATCACCAACAAAGAAGAAATTGATTTCATTGTTTATATCAGCAGGATAAATATGTCAATTAAATAATCGAAAATATTGAAAGGACTAAGTATATATGGTATTCCAGTGACTTACAGAATTAAATATTGCTGGAGATTTTAGATTATTTTAAAATGGGAATAATTGTAAAAACTGATTAACAGATTTGGAATATGAAAACATACGAATATTGATTTTTTTCTTTGACGACCCTATTTAAAATCGTATAAAAATCTCGTCTTATGGTATTAAGGTTACGGTTCCAGAAAATAAAGACTCTAGATATAAAGATGATATGTTTTACAAAAGCATTCCTCATTCACAAACAAAGATATTAATTTTACCAGCAAACAATAATGGTGGAAATGTAATATCTCTCTGGCTTTTCTTTCGCCCTAAAAAGGCAAACAAATCAATTAAAAACGTCGTTAAGTTCGCCCGGGTCGAACTTTTTATACCCTACCATGTGGTGTACATTCTAAATGTCTTTAAAAACAAGGGCTATGTATAATGTCTGCTGGTAGGTTGTTTATTTGGGAAAATGAAAAACACAGACACTTAGTTTGGGAAAACTGAAGCCTTTGGGGAATAGGCAAAACAAAGACTTATATAAAATATGTTCTACATAAATGTGTTTAACGCTACAATAACCCGCAATGCCATTTTACTGCCCTTTTAGGGAAAAATGCGACCAAAAACTTCAAACTAATAAAAGTAAGGCCGAACTTTTATATGGGGGCTATGTCCTATGTATGAGAAATTACAATTAATTTACCTTCAAAATACCAAGCATGACAAGCGTTGACCAGTATTAATATTTTTAGTTGGAAGATTTGAGACCCCATGAGAACCCCATACTTGGTTGAAAACGTGCCCAAGATTCCCAAAATACCGAATAATGGGGTATACTGCTCTAAGAGGGCTACACCTAAAACTGGACAAATATTGATAAATTTTGGTATGGAGATTTTCTATACAATTAGAATCCACAGTATCAAACATGCCCAAAGTCCGAAATTTGGGAGTACTCTTATATGTGGCTATACGAAAAAAGAGTCCAAAAAGTATCAAATTTTAATAGGTTGGTTTGCTACACAATGTGCATTCAATTCGGGTAACAACGGTGCCCAAACTCCCTAAAATATCAAATAATGGTAGGTACCGTTATGTGGGGTTATTCCACAAATTCAACCAATATTGATCATTTTCAATCGCCAAGGGCTTTCATACCGATAATGATAATACAACATTTTGTTGCACATTGTATTTGAATAATACTTGAAGATCTCTTTTGATTTTAGAATATTTTTTTGTCCGATGTCGAGCTAATCGTGCACCAGATACCCAATGTGTGTCCAATTGATATGGAATTTTGCAGCATAATTCTGTATATATTGGCCCAGATTTTATATAGATGGTACAAAAAAGTCCCTTATTCTGTTCAATTGATATGGAATATTTTATAGATGGTCCAATAACATGTGTAATGATTGACTGAAGTCGGTTCATATCTGAGGATCCACTAATGATGCATTGTCTGGCAGATCGACATGTATGTACATGTGTACAACCGAGATTTTATATAGGATACAATAAAAATTAAAGTAGTACCAAAGTGGTGCAGGATATCTTATAGTCGGCTTTGTCCGACTTTCAACTTTTTACACCCTTCACCACAGGGTATTATGTCTTTGTGCATATGTTTGTAACAGCAAAAAGGACTTTTCATTCATTTCGAAAACAACTACAAAACAACAACAACAAAATTCATTTTCTTGCCAGCTGCTTGAAAATCATAAAAATTTAAAATCGAGAATGTATTATAACTTTCTTCCCCAAAATTTTATTCCTGTTTCACATTAAGGCCATCCACATGCTCCTAAATAATAATCTGTTGTTATACTTAATAACTTCCATAATTTATTTTATAGATATAAAAAATTTAAATTTTTAAATGTACATTTAATATACAATAAATGTTAATATTTGCAAAAATATTCCATAACTCTTTTATCATCACATTAAACACTGTTTACCTTTGATGTAAGGAAATTAAATTCATAAAAACACAGCATAACATTTTTATACATTTATATATTCCATAAAAAATTTTACAAAATAAATCCTTTTGACATCCTTTTGCAGGATGTGAATTTATTTCGTGAATTTTTACTGGTTAAACTAATAAATGCTGAAAAGGCAACCTTTCAAACGCCTATATTCTCACAGAAACGTGAACGTACCTTGGAAATGCTAATTAAAGACTTGCATGAAGACTATATTGGTGACAGTAAATTGGTAAGTTTTTGACGTATCGTATTCATAGAAAATGTAAACAAAGGAGGGTGGGATGCGTATTTGAAAGTTAACATCATGTCTACATATGTGTGAATGTGTAATGAGGGATTATATTTGTGTGAAGGTATGTAGGGAGTGTTGATATTGAGATATTAAAGATCATGGTAAACGGGGCCTTCAATATGTGGATATTCGATTGGTGCATATTGGCAGTTAGCCAGGGACGCTCATACCCTAACCCCTTGGAAAAAGACCTGAGGCCCAGTAAATGGTATACATTCGTGACGGGATAATATGTCGATTTTCCCATATCCGCCTGTTTTTTGAAATCACTACTAAATTGCAATATTTAGGTAGAGGCATACAATTTTGCACCTAGACTACTGCTACATCTAGAATGTTTGATATCAAAATTGGACCCATCGCTCCACTTTTTAGTATTAGTGTTAGTATTAGTATTAGTATTATTTAAGTGTTTTGGAAATGAACACATGTTAAAATTTTTTCGATCTGGCAACTCCTTCATATAGAAACAGGTGTTCAAAAAAGACGTATCCGCAATTTTTAAAATGGAAAAATTAGAAATGCGTGCTTTCATTGTAAAAAAATTAGGATGTGTCTTTTTTGAACATCTGTTTCTATATGAAGGTGTTGCCAGATCGAAATAAAATTTATCATGTGTTCATAACAGAGATAGAAGTTTACAAAACACTTAACGTTTTTCTGTTTATACCGCGCTGTTTGTGCTGGGCTAGGAACATTCCGAACTGTCCTCACCTATATTTGTTATTCCGTGACCAACTCAACGAAATATTAACCGGAACCGCTATAAAAAATATATTCCTGAAAAAATATATTGCAGATCGAAATAAAATTTATCGTGTGTTCATAACAGAGATGAAAGTTTACAAAACACTTAACGTTTTTCTGCTTATACCGCGCTATTTGTGCTGGGCTAGGAACATTCCGAACGGTCCTCACCTATATTTGTTATTCCGTGACCAACTCAACGAAATATTAACCGGATCCGCTATAAAAAATATATTCCTGATATCTATTTGGTATTTTGCGGTGTAATTGCCGCAAGCCTCTATGTTTTGTCATATATTCAATTTGGGAACGATTGAGGTCCTAGCCGAACGTCCGCAATTCTCATTTTTTCAGAGGACAAACATCCTCCTGACAGACAATTTCCATATAATAGTCCCGGCCGACTTTAGCTAGGTATTTTGTATGTCAGTTCGACCCGGTCGAACATATCGACGTCATTTAATTCATATCTACCCCAAAGTCTATAGACAAAATCCATAATCAATGAAATGTTAAGCGCCTTAAAAGCCTTTCTTATTTTAAGAGGGCCTTTTTAACAAGTGGCTATTCTTCACAGCAAATGTTGCATATTTACATAGGCAAAATGTCATAACATCGACACATTATTATTCGGCAACGAAAATTTTGCACGCTTGCTTATACATAAGGATAACCCATTTTATGAAGATGTATGAATATTAGAATGTCTCAACACCAGTTGAATGCTACTCACATTCAACCCACCACAGATATTTATTTGAAAAGAAATCGAAAAACTTCCGTGTTAAGGCATCCTTATAAGCGTAACATTAATCTTTTGTTTATTTGCATAAACGAAAAGAGAATGTTTATATTCCGACTCCCCCTTTTGATGAAATATTGTGTGTCTGATGCGGGTCTATACACCATGTTTTGCGGTGAACAAACTTTTTCAGGGGGTTGTTGTCGATTATGCAAAATACACAAAATAAAACCCCCAATTTTAATTGAATTTTATGTGGCTGTATAGATATTTCATCGCCAATACTTTATACAAAATTTGTTTGTCAACGAAAATGGATATTTCAATCAATATTTAAATTTTGTTTTTCGTCGTATGAAAATCGATGAAGGGTTTCGTTGAAAGAAGAAAAAAGTTTTTTTTTTGAAAATATATGTAGGCTTAGCCAGGGGAGTAGATTATATGTATTGAAAACTTGTTATATTTCTATAAGGGTAGTAAGCTAGTTTGATGGAAGGGTTCTTAACAAATAGTATTAATATAAATTGAAGAACCAATAAAGAGTATATATTTCGGATCATCAGTAATTGCCGTAGATGCCTTAGAATTTATGAGGTATAGTTATACACATTCCGAAATCAAATGTCTGCCTGAAATCTATGATAGCCAACATATATTCAAAACATTTTAAAGCCATCTTTAAATTCCGCCCAACCTGTGCTGAAGACACCAAAGCAAAGTTATAAATCATATTTTCTGATAGAATCACAACATGTATTCCAATGTCAAACAGAAAAGTAAAGTCAAAATACATACAAGCATACATGTGTATATGGTTGTATGGAAAAATATATGCGTCTGTGAATGAACATTCCTTTTAAGAAATGAAAACGTATCGTGTAGCTACTCTTAAGCTTCTAACAAATCTTTAGAAAACCAATCAAAAAGATGTGCATATAAGGAATTTTGTATAAAGCACTAGTCTGCACACGTATAAAATTTTAGAAATCATACACACATCCACATCGAATACACATATAGACATATGTAGCCTGGCGAAGCAACTAACATTGACATAGTTATGTACACGTATACTTTCTAATTGTTAATTTACGTGAAAGTTGCACTACACTGTGGAGGTAATTAAATAGGATTACCAAGAGATGTGTTGTAGGACTCCTGGAATACGCCCTGGAAGTCTTTGAAAAAATATTCTTTAAAAAATTCACGCCTTTGAGAAGTCTTTGAAAAAAATATTCTTTAAAAAATTCACGCCTTTGAGAAGTCTTTGAAAAAAATATTCTTTCAAAAATCTACGCTTTGGGAAGTCGTTGAAAAAATATTCTTTAAAAAATCTACACCTAGGGAAGTCGTTGAAAAAATATTCCTTCAAAAATCTACGCCTTGGGAAGTCGTTGAAAAAATATTCCTTCAAAAATCTACGCCTTGGGAAGTCGTTGAAAAAATATTCCTTCAAAAATCTACGCCTTTCAACGACTTCCCGAGGCGTAGATTTTTGAAAGAGAATTTTTTCAAAAATCTACACCTAGGGAAGTCGTTGAAAAAATATTCTTTAAAAAATCCACGCCTGTGGAAGTCGTTGAAAAAATATTCTTTAAAAAATCCACGCCTGTGGAAGTCGTTGAAAAAATATTCTTTAAAAAATCCACGCCTGTGGAAGTCGTTGAAAAAATATTCTTTAAAAAATCTACGCCTTTAGAAGTCGTTGAAAAAATATTCTTTCAAAAATCTACGCCTCGGGAAGTCGTTGAAAAAATATTCTTTCAAAAATCTACGCCTTGGGAAGTCGTTGAAAAAATATTCCTTCAAAAATCTACGCCTTGAAAAAATATTCCTTCAAAAATCTACGCCGTGGGATGTCGTTGAAAAAATATTCTTTAAAAAATCCACGTCTTGGGAAGTCGTTGAAAAAATATTCTTTAAAAAATTCCACACCTTGGGAATTCGTTGAATATATATTCTTTAAAGAACCCACGCACTGGCGAGCTTTTTAAAAGATATTTTTGAAAAAATATGCACACTGTGGATCCTTTAAAAATATTTAAAAAAACACTAGGACTTCTTTAAAAAAGATTCCTTTCTACACACTAAGTCTAAAATTAGTAGGTAGGACATCAAATCCTGTTCCTTAATCGGATTTTCTTATATTTAAATGTACCTATTCAATTGCTGAACACTGTCTACAACTCATATTTTCTAACATTGTCCTATGTCTCCATTTGCTGTTGTCTATTTCATAGAATATGCTAAACAGACGAGCTTTCTCTGAAGTATTGTATGACGTGCCAAGAACATCGAAACTCAAGGAGGACGCTAGACAAATTGAATTCGTTCGCATAGGCCAAGCACTTAAATTGGAGGCCATTGTACGTGGTGATGCCCCCACAAGCATTGCCTCAGCAAGTCCTTGTACGATATTCAAGAAGCCACCTTGGGAGCCGCATTGTTTCTATCCGACATTTCCACACCGGGGTACATTGGCAGGCGATTCATTTGGTAATGCTGATGACTCGTTATTTATAGCAACGGATGATGGAACATTTTTGATGAAAGGTAAGTAGGCAATGCTCACGACCAACCTACCGCAAAGGGTACGAAAGAAGAAGGAACAACAAATCAAACAAATTAATGACCCACCAAAGGATATGTCTTGTGGATACGGAAAATAACTAATTCATTTAATTTAATTTGCTTTTTTCTCTTATCCTTATCATGACAGAGGATCAATCACTGCAGTTGGTCTTCGACAAGACATTACATGTCCGCCAATTAAATGTCCTGGAAGAACACGGCCTGGTGTTGGTGCGTGGAGGCTCTGCCACAAATCGTGATGGCCATCGTATACATGTATTTCGTTTGCGAGAATTCCATTTGAAATCTTCCGAAGAAACTCTGAAGTGTCGTTCTCGTTCTGAGGTAAAGGAGCGACGCATCGATAGAACACGTGGCTGTCATTTGTTTTCCTCTTCGCGTGTAAATGGTGGTCATTTGCGATTAGTGGTGGCCGTTGGACGTAAACTGCAATTATTTCAATGGAAACATACAGCGGCGTGGGCCTCATGGTGTCCGGAAAATGATACAGAAACGGCGGAGGGTTTTATATTTCAAAAGGAAATCTCGCTAAATGATACACCCACAATTGTGACGCCCCTGGAGGGTCCAACCAATACGAAAACTGGTGGTCTAATTTGTGTGGGATATAAGTAAGTTGAAATATATTTACTTTTTTCGAAATTTGAATATTAATTTGAATTTTTGGTAATTTCTCCTTAGATATCATTATGAAATTGTCTGTGATCAAAGTGGAGTTGCCACCCGTCTGCATGAAGTTGAACCGGCCAAAAGAAGTCAGACTCAATTAACAGCCGCCATAGAATTGTGTGATGGCATGGAAACTGAGCTTCTGTTATGTTATAATCGTAAGTACAAAACCTTTTCCCAATGTAATTCAAGTTATTTCAGGGGCTTTATTTGTAATTCAAAGTGGCAGTCGTTGAAAAAATATTCTTAAAGAAACCCACGCCTTGTTTAGGCCTTGGACAAATATTCATTAAGAAATCCACGCCTTGTTTAGGGCTTGAAAAAATATTCATTAAGAAATCCACGCCTTGTTTAGGGCTTGAAAAAATATTCATTAAGAAATCCACGCCATGTTTAGGGTTTGAAAAAATATTCTTTAATTAATCCACGCCTTGTTTAGGGCTTGAAAAAATATTCTTTAATTAATCCACGCCTTGTTTAGGGCTTGAAAAAATATTCTTTAATTAATCCACGCCTTGTTTAGGGCTTGAAAAATATTCTTTAATTAATCCACGCCTTGTTTAGGGCTTGAAAAAATATTCTTTAATTAATCCACGCCTTGTTTAGGGTTTGAAGAATATTCTTTAATTAATCCACGCCTTGAAAAAATATTCTTTAATTAATCCACGCCTTGTTTAGGGCTTGAAAAAATATTCTTTAATTAATCCACGCCTTGTTTAAGGCTTGAAAAAATATTCTTTCAAAATCCACGCCTTGTCTAGGGCTTGAAGAAATATTCTTTAAGAAATCCACGCCTTGTTTAGGGCTTGAGAAAATATTATTTAAGAAATCCACGCCTTGTTTAGGGCTTGAACAAATATTCATTAAGAAATCCACGCCTCGTTTTCGGCGCCTTGGTTGGTCGTAGAAAAAAATTTTTCTTTAAAAATTGGCCCCAATTTTTTTTTAAATTCACGCATTTACTCTCAACTGAATTTACATACATGGATCCTCACCTCGACATTCTTTGACAATATTCTTTTTTCCTCTTGCAGATACATGCCACTTCCAAAAATTAAATGAACGCGATGAATCCCGCAATGAATTCGATTTCCATTGGAATACCTCACCCACATCGGTGGTATGTGCATTCCCCTATATACTCGGCTTTACGGCAGACTCCATGGAAATACGTCTTCTGGTCAATGGCAATTTAGTGCATACCGCGATTTTACCAGAACTACAAATGATAACGTCCAAACGCGATATTTTCTTTGTTACAACAGCACCCGAATTTATGTCCAAAGATTTGAATATTAAGGGACTACAAATCCACGAACAGACTCCAGAACGAAGATTGGTAACCACACCCAGTGAATGTTCGTCAAATGAAGAGCTGACAACACGAGATTCTACAGAAGTCCTCAGCCTAACAAGTGTCAAAGATAGCATACCCCTCAATCCAGAACATGAAATGAATAATTTACTTGAAATACCAAATATGTTGTCGGCCTCAAATGTAGGACAACCCATGCAGAGGGCACGTTCTCTGCAGAAAGCTAGTCACATTGATGACAAGCCTATCATTGCGAAGAGTAATTCTTGTGGCGATGCCTATGGCAGTAGTGATCATAAATATAATCCATTGCGCAACAACTCCATTGTGGATCCTCAATATCAAATCGGTGTACCACCCAATTCACCACGCACAAATTCGAATAACAACAACAGCAGCAACACCAGTAACCACAACAACAATAACAACCTACCCAAGACACCAGCAGCACAACATTCACCAATGTCGCCGACAAAACGGAATTCCAAATATCGCAACCTTTTCTCTTCATCGAATGGTGGCGGCAGTCAAACTCCTGAACATTATTCAAGTTCTCCAGATCGTCTCAAACCTCTACGAGTCTATCGTATACCCTTAGCCAAACTGGCTGGAGCTCACTCCCATTTCCACATGCAATCATTTAATGCCACCGCCTCAGCTAAACTTCAACAGCAACAACACAACCACCACCAACACTCTTCACATTTTCAACAACAAAACTACATTCGTGATCATCACGCGCTATCCCATAAATCACGACAAAAATCATTTGATATTCAATTACCGCTACAGGCAACCGATATTCCAGAATGACAATTGTCTGAACAGACACCGAAGGACCAAATCAACACAGAGAATGTTATTGACAGCGACAAAGAGTGTCAAAGCTTCAATAGGTCACAAATACCGCCAACAACAATGGAATTTATGGAGAAACGCAAGTCCATAGATCTCTATGACTATGATGACAATAAATTTAATGAAGAGGACGAGAGACGTTTTGAAATGTTAATGTTGCAACGTTAATAGGCTGTGCGGGGGAAAGTTAAAATAAGAGAATATTTTGTAAAAGGGAAGGTCAATACATGGGAAATATTCTTTGCAATATGTATAGCATCTATTATGCTTATGTCTTATTGGATATACGGTTTCAAAATTTTGAATACACAACATAATACATAATTATAACAATCAAATACAGAAAATAAATTATTTTTTGGTCATAATTCGAAATTGAAATATTTGTTTATCTGTTTGTTATTTTCCTATGTTTTATTTATTGTTGCCTATAGTTTAGGCCTAATTTTTTTAAGATGTTTTAGATATTTTACTTTGTTAAAACTTTTATGTCTTTATTATTGTGCTAAATACCACTTGGCTTACTCGTTCCAGCTCATTGGAAAAAGTTTTTGAATAAATGAAGCTGAAAGAGTTTTAGCATCAAGGCCATATAAATTCCGGAAAGGAACTAATTTTTTGTCAATCCAGGATCCTTAAAGCAAAAAAAAATAATAAAATGAGCGATCTTTATTTTATGAATGCAATTCATAAAACTGTAAATACTGGTGTCTTATCAGAGAGAGTGAAAAAAACACTTTGAAGTATGTGTGTTTAGTGGTGTGGCGGGTTTTTATGGCACAGAAATTCTTTATTGTTTAAAGTTTTCTTGTCTGGTCTCATTTCTTCTTATTTTCTTACATGTTTATATTTTGCCTCATTGAAACAACCATATACAATGTATTCGGTTCGTCTTGTTGTTCATATCAACACATGTTTGATTCATTGTATTTAGAATTTATATCGAGAGAGTAAGAGAAGAGGCGGAGAACGATACTGAAACAAAGCACAGCTCAACAATAAATGGTGGCTGTGGTGGTGTTTTTTCTTGAGAGGAATACATTTGTTTTTATCAAAAAGAGATATGATATTAATGAAAAATTTACATTTTTTGAAAAAAAAAATTACTTTTCCATGATTATAAGCATTTTTACTTGTATTCTAAGCGAGGTTCATGTACAATATGGAAACAAAATTAATTATGAATGAAATTATGAAAATATTCCGTGTATCTTATACACCGTTGTGACTTCTCTTTTATTCATACAAACTGATTTTAGTCTTTACTTTGGTGCTGGTGTCCGTCGATTCTCTAGACGAGCGTCGAACAGAAGCTCAGTAACTGTTGTGAGTGATATTTAAGGGAACCCCACTCATTCTCGATTTTAATTTTTCAAGATTTTCAATGGGCTGGTAAATCAATAGCAATGCTTGTTAAGGTTTGTAACTTTGCACATATATATTTGAAGATTTAAAAGAGAAGAAAAATAATTTACAAAAAAATTTGTTATTGTTTTGTTGTTGTTTTTTGTAATTAAAGAAAAGTCCTTACTTTTGATGGCGGGCATGATAACTCCTCACTGGAACATCGGAATCCGAAAATTCCACGGTGTTAGAAAGAGTACATGTATGGCTCTCGTATGAACTAGGATTATTGACTTCGCTCTAAAATTAACAAAATGGTGGACCTTTGAAAAAATATTTTTGGAAAATCGCCGATTTTTTACCAAAAACCAAGTTAAAAAATAAGGAAGATCTTCACCGATTGGCTTTATCCTAGTTCATACGAGAGACACTCCCAGAGAAACGTTGCAAAATTTGGAACAGATTGGATTATTAGTTTTTGAGTTATCGTACCCGCCATTCGCAAAAAAATGTTTAGAGAAAAACGCGTTTAAAGTTTGAGAAGCCCTTCAGCCGTCACTTGATGCTGACACAATAAATCGGCTATATCTTCAAGAGTTCTTGAGATTTTCACTTGAAATTTTGTAGAGACATTCTTTAATCAGTGTAGATTAGAATTATATCAACAAAATTTTTGACCCCGAGAATGGGGGGGTCCCCTTAAAAATAATTATCGGCTTCAAAAATGAATAAAAATTTAAAAATCACCGATTGAGATTACAGCTAAATGTATATTTTTGTTAAAGAAAACCAGAAAACCACATAACTTCTTTATATTCGAGAGAAACAATGTGTTCGACTATTTGGAAAAACTTTCGACTATTGTGCTAAAAAATGTTCATATCAAACTTTCATTGCAATTATTTATTAAAAACCAAGTTTGATGTTTGTTTTCACTTATTAGGAAAACAATTACCAAGGCGGCATTGAAATATTTCAAGCATTTTCTTAGATATGGGGGTGATCCACATTAGACGCATAATCCTCATTACCCGAAGTTACTCCAATAATGAAATATTACATTTTTTTGGAAAAAATTTTGGAGTTATCATAAGAATTTGTAATTGTATTCTAAGCGAGATTCATGTACAATACGAAAAAATACGAATGAAAATATTAAGTAAACATTTTTTCTGTGTATCCTGTGCATCGTTCTTAGTTTTCCTCCCTCTAGTGCTTTTAAAATTGACTTTTGAAAATTCATACTAAAATTGCATGAAAAGTACTAATATATAAATTTTGAATATTTGTTATGGTATGGGTTGCAAAGGATGCGGATTAGAAATGTGTACGAAGTAGTACTGTATTGGTTAAAATTGCATTTGGTATTAACAAGGATATCATTTGATGAGTTTTTTCGTTAAAGTTTGGATCATAAAATTTTTATACTCTCTCTCAAGATCTCTCTTCAGAAAATCAATGGAATATTTTTGTAAAAAGGAAAGATTATCCATCTCAGACTTGGAGGTTACTTAATTAATCAAAACATATCATGGCAAATATAGCGAGGATTAGAAAGTTCCGTTTGAGAGGAGGAGAAAGTTCCGTTTGGGAGGACCCGCTTCAGTTTTTAACTAAATTCAATAAGTTACAAATCTTACTGTTAAAAATGATCAACATCTGTCCATTTTTAGGTATAATCCCCATATAGCATTGCATCTATATATAGGCCCAAGTTTTGATATAACTCCACACAGTGATATAAAGCCATAAAATAATTAGGAGCAACCTAATTATTAAAGTCGAGTTAAATAAGAATTTTATTCAGTATTTTATATTGCAATCCGACTTTGTTATATCTTTAAACAGCCATATAATAATAAAAATAACAAAAATAAATCAACTATGGTGAATTTAACTGCATATAGCGATGTTAAAGTATAGAAAGTTACTTTTCACGGTTTTCAGGTATGGTAGGCATTCTGAAACGTCTTGGTCCTATGGTGGAATATTAAAAATTATATAGGCCAAAAGAGTGAAATTTTCTAGACCCATGATATGGGTCCGATCTATCTAATTTCTTGTCAATTGCTTTATAGGCCTATGTGGTTTTTATTTTCTAAATTTGGGTGAATATTAACGATTCTATAGACCAAAAAGGCTGAAATTCTCAAAACCGATTATATGCGAGGTATACCAAATCGTGGTACGATTTTTGTCAGCTTCGCTTTATGGCAATAATAAGCAGTTGTACCAAGTATCATCCACCTACGATAGCTCCTCCTTTTTTGCCGCTGTTAATATGATCTCGCGACATAGTGCGTGGTGAAGGGTATAACGACTTGTTATTTATATATTAGTTAATAGTAGTATAATAATCTGAAGAACAGGTCAAGTCAACGATACCTCGATTGCAGACATTCTATATCAATATAGGGCCACGTTATACACTTTTAGGAATCTATAAAAAATTCTCTTAGAAAAAAAATTTTGGTATAGTTCCACTTTTTTATTTATCCCGTGTATAAAGACCTCGGCCGCCATTCAATAAATCGCAAGTCGCGTCAAATGAATACGAGGTACTGATACGGTGCAAATTTTAGGAACATGCGCCATCAACAACGGGTGGTATTTCTGTTGCACAGTCCTTGGAAAATATTGTCGGCGCAGGCTCAATTCATTAAATCGGAATTTTAGCCACATTTTGAAAAAAATCATTGAAGTATAATTCCATCTAGGTTGGAAAACATCATTTCAAGCAATTCTCAGTATTTTGGAGGGTATAAAGTTCGACACGGTTCGTAAATTGTGAAAATTCACTTTTGATAATAAGGTTTATTTTGAGGAGTAATTCCTCCGTCTAAAGCTTACGCCATAAATCAGGTATAAATTAGAAGTTTGACAATTTTAAGGGACATTCTGGAATTTTGTGGGTTCCCTTATGTGCAACATTTTCCCCGACTACAAACCTTGAACTTCAACTCTTGATGTTCAATGAAATATACCTATGTAATTTTAAATTGTGGATAATTAATTAAATTTTTTCCTCAATATAATAGTCCAAAGCCGTTCCATATGATTTTTTTATAATGAAACCAAAATTATAGTAAAATCATAGAATGGTTTAGATTTATGACCAAATAATAATTAATTTCCAAAAACCAATGACAAATTAAACACAAATGATAATATGTTGCATACATTTACAAATAACGCCAATATTGAAAACCATAACATTACGATAATAAGATTTTAATTTGCTTAAGGAAATTCATAGTTTTTGCGAAACTACAAAATAAGGATACTCGTTACAGCAATGAAAAGTGCAAAACCCCAAATTGAAACTGTGTTAACTACCGAATATTTGCAAAATAAACAAACAAACAAAAAGTACAATATTGTGATGATGATGATGTAAAAGAAGAAGACGATGTTGATGATAATGTTATTGTTGTTGGCTATGAACAGATAAATATTTTATGAATTGTTATTGAAAACAAAACTAAAACACAAATCAAAAAACCCCAATAAAATACCACATGTTTACACACAAAACCTGGAAACCAAAAAATAATAATAAAAATATGAAAATAAGCACACAATGAAATGCTTTACAAAGTAACTCCAAATAC